CAAAGTAAGGCTGAGATTAGAAAAGCTTCAAATGGATACCCTTATCTTAGTTATTTTAATAGGAATTTGGCATTCGAGTCCCTAAAATAGTCTGGAAAATCTCAGCCGGGAGGATGTACTTGCAGACACCCAGTGCTATCCTAGCCCGTGTGTGTGTGTGCCTGTGTGTGTTTCCCTGCTCGTTAGATGCTTTCTGCTATAAGCAATACTGGCGCTTTGCACCTTCCCAGGAGAAGACCAGTGTCTGTGATCCGGGGCACGAATTCTACCCTGTGCCAGCTGACATGGTGACGGTCAACCTCCCATATAGCCTCATCCTCATGTCTAAATATAAACTTGCGCTTGTCTTTTAATGAACAGTGGCACAACAAAGGCCAGGGGTGCCATCCAGCCTGAAAAAGAGAGAGGCTCTGCAGCAAGTGAGCTGGGAAAAGATAAGTGTCAGCATGGCCCTGGGGAGGATAAAACCCATCGATGGGACCTGGATTGTAACCCAACCTTCCCCTTGTACACATACACGCATGCACACGCACACCAAAAATGTTTGACCCATTGCCAGCCTCAGCCCTAAAATCCCCAAACTCTCTTTCCATTTAAGTGCTAATTCATAACAATGCCATATCCAATGGCTCTAAAATAGCCGTGTAAATGTCTTGTCCTTTTATAGCAGTGGCCCTATTGTAAGCTCTGGCATGTGACAGGTCTGAGAGTGACACAATGTGTGACTTCAAGAGACTGGACAAGGATAAAGACCTGTGCGCGCTGGTGATTTATCCTGCGGCAGCCACCTCTTTCCTGTCTGTCTGTCTGTCTCCCTCTCTCCCTTTCTAAAACAGCCCACCAGCAAACCAACATGCCTCCAAAGAAGCCCGAACCTAAGAAGGCTGAACCTAAGAAGGAAGAACCCAAACCAGCACCTAAACCAGCAGAACCAGAACCCAAAAAAGAAGTTGAATTTAATCCAGCTTCTATCAAAGTATGTATCTTTTGACCTGGCATGGGAGGAAGCAGGCTGGTGGGGCTTGGGTTGGTGGTGGTTCTGGTGGTGATGTGTTCAATGCCGTGAGATGAAATTCTCCAAAAGCAGCTCTTGGTTTTTGAGCAGTAAGTGAGAAGCAAAGGCAAGAGTGGGAGCAAAGTGACTGGGGGCTCTGCTGAACAGAGAAGCTAAAAGCTGAATCTTATTTTATCTGAGGATGTTCAGACCTGTTTGTCCCGTCTTATCCCCAAAGTAGCAAATTTTATTGCATGCGAGCTTCACTGACCTCAGTGGGAAACTTATTGCTCCTCTGCAGGCGATATTGCAGGTAGGTGCCAGGAAGGCTTGACTGTACTCAGGGCTGACTACTGACTAACCAACATCCAAGGTTAGATTGTAAGCTTGGAGTGGGCTTGGAGCATGGGTTGAATTCATTTCTCTCTGCCTGGAATGCATCACTTTGGTACACATCACCAGCCTGGGACTTCCTTAAAGTGAGCCAGTGACACCTCCTGTGGTTTTCCAGAAAAACCCAACTGAATGGCAAAGGAACTGTGTGCTTATGTGTGTGTGATTTGGAAGGCAGATAAACTTGAGCAAAAATCCAGATTTCCTGAATGACCTTCTGCTTTCAGGTTCTGCCCCAAGGATCCTTCCGAAGGGCAGGAGCCTTCTCCTCCTCCTTCTCCTTTAGAGAAGTCTCTGCTGGAGTCACTGCTGATCTCAGCAGGGTTTGCTGAAGTCATACTCAAATGTTTAAGGACAAGATTATGTTGCCAAGGCCATTTCAGAAATAGGTTTTGAAAGAATTTGGGGTCACTACTCTAATCCTGAGCTGCCTAACTGGCACCACATTGCCCCTTCAGTGAACCACCCCATTGACAGGGAACTGCCAATGTTTAGGAACACTCAAAGTTTTAAAGCGGTGAAGTAGGTAATTCCAGTGAAATGATGCTGGAGATCCGTTTCCCTTTCAAATGCTTTTTTCCATGGGAATTGACCCTTCAGCAGATATCTGAGGGTGACCCTTTTATTTCAAAAGAAATTTCTCTCAGAGAATGATAAGGAGAAAGAAATTATATATTCCTATGGAAATGACCATGAAACGGACTATCAAGGAGTGACCTCTTGCCTTATAAAAATACAATAAGGAAATAAATATCTGAAAATGACCAGTTCCCCTTTGCTCCTTCTGCACCACACACATTCACAGGCAATGTCAGAGACCCCTGCACGCATCTTTAGGAACAGCTTTCCCATATTGTTTGCACAGTAAATACCCCATGACGATAGACACTGCAAGACATGGAAGGATTTCTTTGCAAGGCATTGTCCTTTGGGAATTGTCCTTTGGGAAAAGCCATTGCCCTCGGGGAAAAGAAGAGGAGCTTTGCAGCATCTCACAGGTTTCTTTCTCATGGGGATTTGGACCAGGCAATGACTGGGTGTAAATCAGCATTATTTTGTTGATTAATTTAAAGCAGCCAGATTCTTTCCTGTTTCTTACAAGAAATTGAACAACCAACAGGGGAGTCCTGGTGATCACCCGTGTTTAAGGTGAGCTGTAGGACATGAGACAAGACTAGACAATGCCAAAGAGGAAAACAGACAGAGCTCCACTGCTATCCATGGCACCAGCTCCTCAGAGTTGAGGCGAGGGATGAATGTCTCTGGGACCCTCTCCTGTTAGCTCAAAAAGTATTTTCCCCCTCAGGAAAACACAGAAACGATGTGAGAAAGGGAATAAGTTACTTTGTCTCTTCAGTGTGCCTCCTGAACACACCACAACAGGTCTTATGGGTGGCTTTGTCAATCACAGGTTGCTGAAACAATTTGCTTCTTCCACGTGGAGCTGACTCCTGCAGCGGGGGATTTCTAACAAAGGAAGCACTGAAAGTGGGTTTGTTCTTCCTTGAATCATAAAGACCTTGAAAATCTTTCAGTTTAAATACGGGTGAAAAAAAAGCAATCGTTTGTAACTATATCAAGAAGAAGTCAGATTACAAGGAATTTGGTTTTGGGCTAGTTTTTAGGATAATGACACCAGAGTTAGTGCTGTGGTCTGAGAAGGACTTCCAGCGTGACCTTGGGCAAGTGGTACGTGGTGGGATCCAGCTCTCTGCTAACGTCTCTGTACTTAACATTCCTGCACTGTAAAAGGAGGAGGGGGCAATCGCAATAACTTCTTTTAGGGGCACAGATACCTTCAGCTGGGATGCCATGACATTGTGGTAATATTCAGCTGGGGTACTATGACATTGCGGTATGAAGGGCAGCTAAGTCCAGTGGAGAGATGAGTTGTAATTAAAAAAACCCCAAACAATCCCCAAACTGGTCCCACTCAAAAAATAGTCATGCACCTTTGCAGTCACCACAATTTCAAAATCATCAAAAACATTTTCATCCAAATAGGATTTGAAGCTAATTAATTTCTACATTCTTTTTAAACTTACTCACTCTGCACGCTTATTCCTGCAAATTCTTATTTTTCCCTCCATTGCAATTTGCAATTATGGACTGTTATGTTTTTTTTAAGTGCTAAAAAATATGTATTGAGTTCCTAAAAAAATAAGTAAATCCAGTACTCCCGTGATAACATCTCTTCATCTTTGCAGACACTATTCCATTATCTACTATATACAAAGTTGGACAGGGGAAAGCATTGGTAGATGCGTGGTTTGGGTCTGGTGTTTTTTTTTTTTTTCCCCAAAACCCATAGCAAGGGGAGATGATATTCTCTAGAGAAGTTTTCCTGGGAATTTTTCAATTAAATGTTTTTAATCAAAAATGTTTTTGTCAAAATTGAAGCTATTTGTGCACAAGGGTTGGGTCTGGCAAATATATGGCTTCCTGTTCCATAAACCTAGCCGTGGTGGAGCTCAGGCCATCTGGTGTGGATCAGAATACCTCCCTAGATCATTGTACAACATTTCAAAAAATGCTTTAATGAGTTTTGAAATTCTCCAAACATCCCATTTCTGCATTCCAGGATGAATCTGATTCTTGTTTTCATGCAGAAGATAATCTATAGTTAAAAAAAGGCAAGGAAAACAAACTTGTATCAAACCAAAATGTTAAAAATGATCAAAATGCATTTTTTGATGGGAATGTTTCAAATTATCAAGATTTATTTTCAGACCTTATTGCAAAATTTTGTATTGGGAATTTTTTAACTTTTTTTTTTTTAGACACTACAAAGTCTCAAAACTAAAATACTTTGGTGGAAGAGGAAAGTACTTCTTGTTTCAATTTTCCTGACTGTTATAGTCTGCTGTCATGATAATGGTCTAAGAGCCTTATTTTGCACTCCAGAATCATATTAGATTTTCCCATTGTCTCTTGCTGCTTCACGGTCTCAATCTGTATTGGGTCCGTATTGGGCTGTCAGTCACAGTGGCCAAAATGTGAGGTACATCTCTTTAAATAAACGCAGTTATCCTACAGTTTTAATGTTACTCACGTATGCATTCCCATAGAATTTGACCCAGTATTTAGAAATCTTCCAAGTAGATTGGGTGCGATTGAGTGTTGTTTGCAACTCATAGACAAGAGGGTTTGGGGTTTGGCCTGAAGAGATTTTGTAGCAAGAAGTTTGTCTTTTCCACATATCTAATTAATTTCCACCTGAATGCTGTCTTTAAGCAGGAGGGCACATTTTGCCAGAAATATATTCTGCTCTCCTGAAAAATAGTAAGGCTGATACAAAACGGGATTCCTCTTCTATTGTTATGGACACAGAAAGTGGGACTGGCTCATCTAGCTTTAACCATTGGGAAGTTGATCATTGATCTTAAACAGATCATCTATAATCAGCAGAGAGAAACTCTCTAGGGGTTTATCCCTTGCAGCGGTGCTAAACACCTATATCAGGACGGATTGAATCACCCTCGGGAGATGCTGATCTGTTGATAAAGGGAGATGAGACAGGTATTTGGGTGCCAACATTTCAGCAGCTAAAGTTAGCTGAGATGACGTGTGCTCAAAGTCCAGTGAGTCCTGGGTACAAAAAGGCCACAGAGAGACAGCTGGCATATGTGAGGACCTGGAAGGGACATGGCTTACCATATAGAGTTATCCTTAATAGCCACATTTTCCCGTGTCATCACTTGATATGCTTATTGTCGCAGCATGCAGTAATACAGGTGCCCGGGGAAAAAACAGTCATCGTTTATTTTTGTGGAGTGCCGTGATCTTGAAGTCATGTGAAACCTGTTTCCCCTGAAAAGCCCTGCAGGCTTCTGAACATCTGCAAGGATACTAAAAAATAAAAGCTTCTTCCCTTTTTCTGCAAGAAAAGATGTAAGAGCATCTGGGATGGGAGCAGCCACGAGGGAAATACGCAGGCATCGTGCAGCACCAGTAAAGATGAGACCTTGCCAGACTTGTCTGTTCGGCTCCAAAGCACTGAGCGTGCCGCAGTGCGATGGTGGGGTCGTAGCCAGGCAGACGTGCAGGGGTGCACGAGCGAGCCTCCGCCGCAGCGTGAAGCAGGGCTGAGCAGAGGTCAGGGCGGCGGCAGCCTGGGGGGAGGGAAGCAAACGTCTCTTGGGGGAGACGGATTGATTTTCAAGGAGAGAAATCCCAACAAATGTCCTGCTAGGTGAGATTGTCGGAGCAGTTTCGGTGCCTTGCTGAAGAGTTTATTCCGGGCTGAACTGACTGAAATGACTATTTCAGAGTGAGCTTCAACATGGGAGAAATGTATATGAGTTAATAGCAGACATACCTGTGAGAAGGGCTTAGATGGGGGAATGAAAAAGCAGGAGTTACTTTGTGGATAAAAAGGATTTTGTTTGTTGGGTAAATGTGTTGCATTAGTGTGTATGAGAGGAAAAAAATGCTCTATTAAACATGTGGCTGTATTAAAGAAATTCAGTTTATGGGAGTAATGAATGTGTGTACAAGAGAGAGTGAAGCAGCATATGACACCTTTGTGCCTCTGTGTGTGAAGAGGTATGTGTGTGATACGCAGGTTTTGTAGCCACGTTTTTGAGGAGTTTCTGTGTACAATCAGTAGCCGTGGGGTGTGTGCCCTGATTTCTTGACGTTTTTTAGCTGTGTGGGAGGTTTTGAATGTACCTCTTATTCAGAGAGAGGAATTTACCTACATCCCTGACTTCTGTAAGGAGAGAGGGGAGTGTGTGTGTGTAGGGGTGAAGGGTTTTGTAGGCAAAAAGGCTTCTTTGTGAATAAGAAAGCTGACGTGTTGGCCCACTTGAGGGAGATTTTGAGTGTGCAAAAGAAGTATTTTATCTGGATGTGTGAGGGAAACAGGGTATGAGCTCACAGGCGCACATCTCTCCTGGTGTGCGAGGCTCAGCAGTGGATAACCTTGTAGCTGGCTGACGGCAGGAGTGTAAGGTCCTTTGCAACATAGACCTGTGGAAAGCATGCCACAACAGGGGTTGCGTAGGAAAGAGGGGGGCTTTTCTTGCCAGAAAAAGCCATTTGCTGGGCCAAGGTTAGGACATCCCAGCACGGGCATGATTTGAATCAGCATATTGAAGAACCCTTTCCCTCTGGTGCAGAGACGACAGAAGCAGGTTTCTTCAAAGCCATTCACCAATCTGTTTCACCCCTGCTTTACACCAGGAAAGCGCATCTATGTCAACGGTGCGTCAGGTAGAAGGTGGTACAGAGCTGTCCCTGAGCCACCCACACAGGGCAGCACAGTACTCTGTGTGGGGACCATTTCTTTGGGTCTCTGAGTAGATGATGACCTGGGTCGTACTAAAGACATCCAAATTACTAAGGGCTTGTCTGATTCAGAAGAAAGCCTGTCTGGAAATCCCATGCAGTGTACATATATCATATCCAGCTTGGAAGAAGAAATCATGTTATGTTTTAGTAAGATGGGGGGGGGATGCAGGTCTTTGCCCACTCTGAAGCCTATCAGGATGTTAGATCTCATTGAGAGTTTGGCCAAGTCTTCCTTGAGAATGACGTGGAAACTCTTTACACGTGTATACCTGCGCTTCCAAGATCAGGCATCAAGACAGCTGAAGGTGGCCACCATATGCGTTCAACCTCCCAACACCCTCTCATCTTTCTCTTTCCAACCTATTTCTTCCCTTGGTTTCATTCCTTCCAGGTGCTACATATTCCCATTGTCATCACCATTATTATTATTGGCCTACAGTGCATCTCAGCAGAAATACTTTTAGAGAGCAATTTCCCTCCTGTGCTCACATACTTGAAGGTTTCTGAAGTGGGCAGACACCTGCCAGGCTAAACTGAGCCCATGCTGGGCCTCTTTCTCTCAGTGGTTTCTTCCTGAGCCTTTCAAGCACAGAGAAATTTGAGTAGTGAGTCTTGAGGAGGCCCCAGGCAAAAACGACTAAAAGTAGCAAAGACAAGAGACCCCGTTGCAAGCTTGTGGGAGTCAGTAGGAAATTTTTCCTTTCGTGTTTTATGGGATTTGCCTCTGACTCACCGTTCTTGGTATGGACCGGTGCTCTGGCAAGGTGTGAGAACCTTTGTAAGCATATTGTGGTTTATTTTTAATATAGCGAGCAACGAATGCCTCTTAGGTATGTGCTCAAAAATTGCATTGATCTGGCAAAATACCTTCAGATGCATAGAGACAACTCCCTTTTCAGCATAATGATGGTACAAACTGCTGTAACTCCAGAGGAAGATTTCAGATGCCATCTGTTTTAAATACCAGATATCTTTCTTAGGGTGGGATGACTCTTTATTTGAAAGTGGAAAAAGCCCAGCCTGGCTTCTAGGGAGGGAACCTAGACATTTAGCTTAGATGAGATGTCTACCTCAGCTGGTTGTAGTGAAGAAAAAGGAGCTCCACCCTGAAACCTTTGGCTGCCCAAGTTCGAGTTACTATCTCAAGCACAGGGTCTTAGTAGACTATCCAGCTAAATGCAGAAAGTCACTGGAGGTTTGGATTGCATTATTAAAAAGTTTCCACAGCTAATTAACATGCGACACGCTGCCCTCTTGCACTAGAAAGCTAATGAACCAAAGTGCCCTGACACCCTTGGGATGAGCACGGGAGAAGAATCAGAAAAGAATAAAACAGGAGAAATTCCATTCAATTGGAATAACCAGGATAACCAGGGTCCTCTGCCCTGCCCAGCCCACACCACATCGAAATATGAGGATGAGTGAAGAAAGCCAAAGGCTCCTGCACGATCTATTGGCATTTCATGTCACTGAGTGTGGTGAATACTTGTTTTATAGAGCTTAAGGCTGTTTAATCATCTAAATCTGGCATCCTCTATGCAGATTTTGACCCAGATGAGCTCTACTGAGCCCAAAGATTTTGGTTAGAGAAAAGCATTTTGGGCCCGATGAGAAAGAAAGAAAGAAAGGAGGAAAAAAAGTGAGATTTACCTGCTGTATTTCAGGCATCTACAAGTTAGATATTCAAGGCTGAGCTAGTCTTTTCAACTGTAATGGACAGCTGCTGAAGAGAAATGAGGACTTTCACAAGTTCGTTTATTTCACCTGAAGATGAGTATCTAAGGCAGCTTGAAAAAAGCCGTGGCAGAGAAGAGGGCCCACTGAAGAGTAGGGACACTCAAGCCATGATCTGGTGCATTGAAGAGCCCTGGCAGCTCACTTTTGCGCCCCAACTAACGAGAACTGCGAATAATTGGTGCTCACCAACAGAGCCCTGCCAGAGCTGGACTGTGCCTGGATGCAAGCCGGTGAAACTATCTGGTTTGTGCGGTGCTGTGTAGCTCCACTGGTTTGTATTTCTACCAGTCTGAGGACTTTTCCAGAGTGTACTCATTGGCTGCTGTATGTTAGCGGTTCTGCCCGAGACCTTACTCTAAAAGAAATGGTGGACCTACTCCAAAATCCTGGCTCTGGATCGACCATGGGGGAGAACAGATCTGCAGGGTCCTGAACCTGAGCAATCTCTACCATGTCTGAATGAAAATCCCGCATCCTCCCCATCCATCATCCCCTCAAACCTGCGGGGAATTCAGCTTCAGTAGCCTGTGGTCCTTCCTAGGAAAATGCTGACCTGCGGATTTCAGGTCATAGCGGGCAGCAATTGCTTTGGGTGGGAACTGGAAGAGGATCATCCTCCTGGAAGGATCCTTCTCCCAATTCAGGACAGCTAAAGTCTGAGGCATGGCACTTTTCCTCCATAAATGGTGCTTTCTCCTACCTTGTCTCATGCCCTCTGCGTAGCGGGGGGTGCAGAGGTCTGACGTTACACACGTTGCACACACACAAGTGTGCACGGGGAGGGGAAGCTCAGCTGGAGGACGCTGTCAGGGCTGTCAGCACGGTCTCTGCCCACTCCAAAGCCTGTGAGAGGCTGTTGCATGCAGCTACCACAGGTATTTCTCAGGAGTCGGTGGCTGAGACACGCTGCCTCGCACATAAAAATCAGATGATGGTCAAGCTTATAATGCCCCATTAGCAATTTTCTTCAGTGCTTCTAGATGGACCCCAGAGATAAGCATAATTAAAATGCCATGCTGCCATAGCACGCTTCTAAAGGCAGCTCTGCTCTTTTATCCTTTCCTTTATTTATCACACTCCATGTCACTCTGGAAGCACAGGACGTTCCCAGCCAGGCTGGCCATTGTGGGGCAGCTTTTCATAGTGGAGAGAGCACCTTTCTCCCGCCTGTCCCTTCCTTCGGAGCAGATGGCCCCAGGTTGACACAAATTTGGCAGCTTGCTTGACAGAAATGAATCAGTGCCTGAAAGTGTAAAGGGTATTTCAGCATTAGGAAACAACCTGGTCAAGGCTACAGCCTTGACCCAACGAAATGTTTCATTAGAAGAGGGCGTGTGGGATGACTCAAGTCCACGGGGCTGTAGCATCCCTAAAAGAGGTGATCCCCAAGAGATGTGGGCCAGGATGGAGAGCGGCGAAGAAATAGTAAGATGTTGAGCAAGCAGGCACTAAAACACAGCAAAAGGGTTTCTTTGTGGTATATTCCGCTCATTTGTAGGGCCAAAACCGAACAGCACTGGAAATCGAAGGAGCTTTCCAGATGAATTTTCTGGGCCAAAGAAAGTCTGGCTATCTTTGTATATCTCTCTTGTTCGCAGAGCTGGGTGACATTTCTCATAAAAATATTTTCTGGGGAGACTTCAAAAGTGCAGTTTGGTGGTACCAGAATGTTTTGCAAATACACACAGATTTTGCAAAGGGTTTTCAAAAAAATCTGAAAAGGATAAAGAAAATTACCAGTTTCAGCTTTTTTTAGTTAATTCTCTGTTTAGATTTTTTTTTTTTATTTGAAGCAGCTATTAATTTTGGAGGGTTCCTTCCTTCTTATATAAAAAAATACCCGGAAATTTTTAATGGTTGAAATTACTTCAATTTGGGCAAAAGAGAACATTTTGACTGATCTGGAACAATTTTTCTCCTTC